CATTCCTCTTCCATCTATAAATAAGACCACCCCCACACAAAAACACCATAGAATCCTGGAGGGTTTGAAGTCCGAAAGGAAGAGATCACCTAGTAGTAGTAGTTAGTAACTTAGTTTTATTTTAAGTTGTAACTATAGTTAAGTGACAACCCATCTCTGTTCTCTGTATCAACCCTTAAGACTCCTCACGAGCATCAACCCATCTTTCTCCATTTTCTATTTCTTTTGTAAACTATCTTTTCAATTAATATAAGTGTTTTTCTCTTCGTTCCATTCGTTATCTCTTAATTGAATCTTGGGTCTATGGGATTTTAGTTGGGAATAATTTTGTTTAAACTATCAGCCATGAGCTGAACTATCTGTGGAACGGGTGAACTGTGAAACTCTTAAAGAACTATTTTCAAAACTCTTGACTGAAGCTTTTTGTATTTCTTTGGCTAAGTAAGCTATATTCATTGTGTACCAATGGAAATTGGGCACATACTGAGAAAGGAACTTCCATAAGGAAGGGATTTCAGACAGCTTAGCCATTGGGGAAGGTAGTGTTATGGCAAAAACACTACTGATCACCTTAGGAATAAGGGGTCAACTCGTCCATTTTAAGGTTCTGTTCTAAGTACCTGTTGGAGTCAAGGGAGCCATAGGAATATGGAAACTTGTGAGCCATCTAGTCAATGAGCTGAGGAATCAGAATTGGCAGACAAGAAACTGGGACAAAACTAAAAAGTGCTAAGTCTTGAGCAGAGAAAACAGCCCCTTTAAGAGTGGAGCAGTAAATCTGTTCCTTTTGTTAAACTGTTTTAGCTACCACCCTGTTGTCTCTTGATTATAGTTATTTCTTTTTTAGTAGTTTTTACTTTATTTAATCTTGCACTTATAAAATCCCAATGATTATTATCTCACCTTCTTCTAAACAGGAAGGATCACATACATAACGCAGCGAGCAATTGTTTGTCACCAGATTGAACTTACTGTTCCTGAGGAACGTTGTCAAGACAGTAGGGAACGTTTGACCAGACAGTTCATTTACTAACTTTTCTTCTCATCTTCATTCTTTATAAAACAGTATAAGACAATAATTAGGACTCTATCCTTATAGGAACGATAATTTAGGCACTAATACTCTCTTTATTACTTGATGCGTGTACTTGCGCACTTAGGTTAGAATTAAGGGAACGAATCTGTGTTCTGCAAGAACAGAGGAACGTCCCCTATCAGAACTTACATTTTTCCACCATCAGGAAACCACCCAACATGTGTCAATGGAGAAATGGTTAAGTAATTTTCATCAGATTTTTGAATAAATTGGTCTAAGGCTCAAAAGGGCTAACAATGGAAAATTCTTCTAGGTAGGCTGTTTGACTCTAAGTTAACAAGAATAAAATGTGCCTTTATCATGTCAGTAATGCATGCAAGCTAGAGAAACAGTTCAAGTTCTAGAAAACCACTACAGTGAGGCCTCTCTGAAAAATTTTACTGTTTAGGCTCAATTCTCACAGGTTTAATTCACGATAGAATGTAATTTCAAAATTTCACATCAAGCATTATCCAAAAATTATTCATCAAAGCAGTTATACAAATGAGCAATTATCACTCTCAGATTATCTAAAAATTAATGCTCCACAGATATCATGCTTCTTATGATTCAATCTATTTAATTACTGAGTAAGCTTTTGCAAAATCTATGAATGCTTGTTCAGGAATTCACTATTTTATTTTTTTTTATTTTCTAAAATTTGAAAAAAATTGAATTATAATAGCAGAAATTAAAAAAATCAAAAAGATTGAGATATCTCTCCTGAATTATCATTGCATTCCTATTGAGTGTGTCTATTCCTCAGGCAAAGCATGCTATACAACCAATTCCCAGATTTAGAATCTTGTTATCCTCAGCAATAACTCTAAACTAGATGTGAAGCAATTCTGCGTACTCAAAATACACATATAGATCAAAACAAACTAGCATGATAATATCAACAGGAAGTACCAAAATGTGAGTTATATCTCAATACAGTACCAAAAGAAATAAAAGAAACTAAAAGTCTAGAAAATAAGACAAGAGATGGAAAAGAGATGGTGGTGAAACAAGAATGTGTGGTGCTAAATTTCTCATTAATGGTGGTATCATCTCCTGTTGCCTTTGGCCTCATTTGCCTTGTAGTTGTACTCTGAAAAAAAAAAAATCTCAATGGCATATAAAATTCAACATATAGGGCCTGTTTGGTGCGATGTATAGGATAAGACCTGATAGTATAAGCCCTGATAGTATAAGCCCTGATAATATAAGACCTGATTAAATTTTAATACTATACAGTGTTTGACATGATATTGTATAAGATAATGTATTGTGTAAGATACTACTATCCAGTGTTTGGTAATGCACTGTATAATACTAGATTGGATAAAAATAAATAATTTTGACAAAAATACCCTTTAATAAAGAATTTATATAATTTCTCCAAATATTAATTTTTATAAAACTCTATCAATCAGTGTCCAAAAAATTTATTAATTCATGATTACATTTGGTATTTCTTTATCTTTTGAGCACCAAACGAGTCACCTAAACTGACAGGAATGAAGATTTAACAATCAGACCTCTTGCTATAGCTGTCAACGAAGCATGGCATCATGTGGTAATGCTACCATTTGCTGAACAAACATAACAATAGTCTTAATTTTAACAAGCCATTAGTTCCAAACAGCTTAATAATATTATACTAGACAAAGATATGGTACCAAGATCCTCCAAAGTTGAGGGTTTTTTTCCTTCTTACCAACCTTAGCTGGTATGCAGATTTAGCCACTCTTGATCATTCATAACAAGACCAAACTCCCAGGAAATCTGAAAGAAATATGCAAATTTCTAAAAAGCATTTTAATCAAATTAATTGTCCTTGAATATCTTGCAACCCACATGACTATACTGTTATACATGATCAAATACATATTTATCATTTTAGCTTTGTTCAAGAACCATTGCATAACAATGATCATTCGTTAATTACTTAGTCATCATCCCAAAGTTGGTGCCACCAAATAACATAAATATGTGAAAAAACCAAGTGACTCTCTAAAACCAAACAGCATTCTGAATGACAGAAGCTTACTAAGTTATTTACTATTGACATTTTACATTGAAAGTTCCACCAATGTCACCAATTGAATCAGACAATTCATCCCTAAATGATAATAGTAACAGGCAAAGGAACACTTTAGGATGCAAATGTTTTGAACTGGCAACATACAAGAAAATAAAAAATGCGTGCACAAACAAGTAACATCAACTCGAACTCTCAAAGTCACAATTGAAGAATGTACAATGAATAACCTAAAAGGCATACAATTGATTATGAAAATGAAGCAAAATTACAAAGAAGAAAAAAAGAGGGACAGTGATGCCTATTGCCTAGTTATTCCCTAATACCTAATACAACTGTACACCTGCAATTGTAACAAACTTCAAACCTATACTCATGTTAGACCCACAATAAAATTCAAGGTACAACTTGACAAATTTCTTGAGCCCTATCTCCAAATTAGTGGTAGATCTGTACCTAAGGTCCTTGTGAACCAAACTAATATTGGCATGGGTGAACTTAACATCTCCATTTCTCGGCATAGGAAGCACCTATTCTTTGCCTTGGTTTTCAGAAGCTTCTCCATTATGTTGACAAGCCTTCAAATTGAGACTGTAAACGGAGCTCGTGGAAGCCCAAACAATGGCGAGATGAGGGTTCGCCGATTTGCACGCTTCTAGAAGGCTCACGAACCCTAAGATGTTGCTGTGCAGATAGGATCCAGGATTCTGCATAGTGTAGCGGACCCCAGCCTGCGCCGTGAGGTGCATCACGTGGGTGAACAGCACCACGTCGAAGAGCTTTCGGAGGAGTGCGGCGTCGTTGATTCACCGTCGAGGAAGAATATGCCGGTGCATTCGAGGAGCTTCTGGCGAGCTCGTTTGAGGTTAGGGTAGTAGCAGCTATGGGGAAGAAAGGAGAAGAAGGGTTGTAATGGGTAAAAAAAATATGGTATATGATTAGCCTTATACATTAATTCTTTATCAGGTCTAATCCCACCCTTGTAGACCTGATTAAGTTATACATCATTTTGATGTATTAAGGGGTTATGATGTATAAGCTTATACAATACGATGGTCACTCCAAACAACTGAGATTATCATAATGTATAGTATAAGCTTATACTATCAGGCCTTATACGTCGCACCAAACATGCCCATAAATATCACAGACATGTCAACCAATTCCCAAATTTATTGTGAACAATAAATCACAATCAAGAGCGAGACCTGTACTCCTCAATTATTCAGCCAATATTTCCAATTTCATGTGGAGTAATGCTTATGTAAGAACAAACAAGAAAAAAAAATCTAAAGAACTCAAAACTCACATTTAACAAAATGCAATTTAAAATCTAAGAAACCTTAGCTTCTAATTTGCATCAATAATTAACAAACTCCACAATTAAAAGTTAATTGAGAAAAGGTAGATGGCAGGTCACCTTATCTTGGCCCATGATATCAGAAAAAAATAACGACTCCAGACACAAATGCACAATGGACCGAATTGTGAAAGGGTTTGATAATGGTGTGTCTTTGGGGCTGCGTGTGGAAGGGTTTGTGAAAAATAGAAAAAATTAAAAATAAGAAAAGGAAAAAATAAAAATAAATGGACGGTAGATTAGGGGTATTTGGTTGGGGATGGAAGGAAGAGGGTGTAGGTATTAATATTTGTATTTTCATTTCTATTAGTTGTTATTTCTTTATTTCTTTTTCTGTTTTGTAACTGCCTTGCTGGCTCATGCATGTGGCTGAGCACTTTTTTAGCATTCTGTTGGCTTTTCCTTTGCTGATATAAACTACCTCTTGTACGACCTTTCATTTTCAATCAAAGATGAATATTCAGTTTTCCTTTCATAGTCTTTTTCTTCCTGTTAATTAATATGGTATCAGAAGTTTTCGTGTAGCCCTTGCCTTTTCCATGGCTCGTGGCAACACTACCGCTGCTCGTCCCTCAGATTCTTCTTCTGGTCAGTCTCCTTCCATGGAGGACACTACCAGTCCTTATTCCTTACAGGGAGGGGACCACCCTGGTCTGATCCTTGTGGTCACACCCCTTTCTGGATCCAACTACAATTCTTGGAATCGTGCCATGCTTTTGGCCCTTACTGCCAAGAACAAGTTAATTTTTGTTGATGGTTCCTTACCTCGACCACCTTCTTCAGATCTCCTTTTTTCTTCATGGAATCGATGTAATTCCATGGTCATCTCTTGGATTTTAAACTCTGTCTCTAAGGATATCTCTGAGAGTCTTCTCTATTTTTCTAATGCTTTTGAGGTCTGGACTGATTTAAAACTCGCTTTGCTCAGGCCAATGGTCCTCAGATTTTTCAGCTTAAGCAACACATTTCATCTCTGTGTCAAGGTTCTCTTGACATTAATAGCTACTATGGCAAGTTAAAGGTCCTCAGGCCATTGTGCTTGTGGTGCTCTTCGCGACATGAACAATCGCCGGGACCAGGATCATGTTCTTCAGTTTCTGATTGGGCTCAATGACTCCTTCTCCGCTGCTCGCGCCCAAATTCTATTGATCGACCCTTTGCCATCTCTTGCCAAGGTCTTTTCCATGGTCATTCAGGAAGAGCGTCAACGACATATCTCCGTTTCTTCTGCTGCACCGCCTGCTCCTGACACTCCGTTCTTGGGTTCTATTGCTCCTGCTTCTTCTTCACCGGCGGCCATGGCGGTTTCGACTCAGCGTCGCCAACGTCCTCTGTGCACATACTGCAACTTTTCTGGCCACACAAGGGACAAATGTTTTAAGCTTCATGGGTTCCCTCCTGGTTACAAGCCCAGGAACCCAAAGCCCAGTTATATCCCACATTCATCGCCGGCCCATTTCCCTCATACACCACAAGCCCATTTCCCTCATACACCACAATCCCAATTACATCCTACTCCTCATGCACTTTTTACCCATTCGGTGGCCCCTCACCCAAATCTCTCAAAATCTTATCCTATCACCAACCCTGTTACCTCATCCACCGACACACCTCTAGCCTTTACCCCCACTCAATATAACCAGCTGATTTCCCTCATCCACCAGAGTTCTGCTGTCCCCTCCGTCGCTCCTTCCGTCATCGAGTCCTCCGCCTCTCCTTCGGTGGCTCCTTCGGTTGCTAGCTCCAATGATAACTCTTCTCTTTCTTTTCCCCGTTCTTGTTGGGTCTTAGATACTGGTGCCACGCACCACGTTTGCATGAGCACTGATCTTTTTGTTTCTTTTTCACCTTCGACCTCTTTGGTCACTTTTCCAAATGGTTCTTCGGATGCTGTCTCAGCTATTGGCACTGTCCCTCTCTCTTTTAAACGTTCTGTGTGTTTCTTCCTTTTTATTTAACTTACTTTCCATTCCTTCTCTAACCCGTGATTCCTCTATCATGGCTAATTTCTGTGATTCTTGTTGTTTTCTTTAGGACCGTGTTACGGCCAAGCTGATTGGGATTGCTAAGAGATGTGGTGACCTTTACATTCTCGATTGCAATTTTCTTTTTCCCCAAACAGATGTTTCCCCCTCCCCTTGTTTTTCTGTTGTTAATTTTCCTCCTCCCCTATGTTCTTCAATTTCTGTTAAGGACCCTGTTTTATGGCATTCTCGCTTGGGTCATTTATCAGTTGCTGTTTTAAATTCAATGAAAGATGTTTTGGGTTTTTCTGGTGTTTTACCTGCTTCTCATCACTGTGCTGTGTGTCCCTTAGCCAAACAGAAACGCCTTCCCTTTCTGTTAGACCCCAAGCTCTCTGCCTCTCCCTTCATGCTTGTGCATTGTGACATTTGGGGTCCCTTCAACACTCACTCTGTTGAAGGTTCTAGGTATTTTTTAACCTTAGTTGATGATTCAACTAGGTTTACCTGGATTTATTTCCTTCGAAGGAAATCTGATTTTTCTTCAATTTTTCCATCCTTTTATACTCTTATTCTTACTCAGTATGGTCTTCCCATTAAATCCATCAGGTGTGACAATGCTCTTGAGTTTCTTTTGCCTTCTTTTTATTCTTCCAAAGGCATTCAAATCTTTCATTCCTGTGTTGACCGTCCCCAGCAGAACTCTGTGGTTGAACGAAAGCATCAGCACCTTCTTAATGTTGCTCGCTCCTTACATTTCCAGTCGAATATTCCTCTGCAATATTGGCAGGACTGTGTTCTTACAGCTGCTTACCTCATAAACAGGACCCCCTCTCCTTTACTTTCTTCTCACTCCCCATTTGAACTACTTTGACACAAACAACCATCCTATCACCACCTCCGTGTTTTTGGCTGTCTCTGCTATGGCTCTACACTTCCTAAACATAGACATAAATTCTCTCCCCGTGCCTTACCGGCTGTTTTTCTTGGTTATCCCCCTGGGTATAAGGGCTACAAACTCCTTGACCTTCAATCCAACTCCACCTTTATTTCCCGTGATGTTACCTTTTTCGAAACAATTTTTCCTTTCAAAATTAGTTCCCTTTGACTCCTTTACCTGCTGATTTTTTTCATTTACCTGCTTCTTCTTCTGCAGCCCCTCCCATCCCTGTTTCTGCCCCTCCCTCCTTAAGGCCTCACCGTAACCGCACTGCCCCTGCCCGTCTTGATGACTATATTTGTTCCACCTCTACCTGCCATCCTATATCTAGTTCTGTTTCATACCATAGGCTGTCTCCTTCACACACAGCCTTGGTTAATTCCATTTCTGGTCATTATGAGCCTTCCTCTTACTCTGATGCTTCTCAGTTACCCGAATGCCAGTCTGCTATGGCATCTGAGTTATTGGCTCTTGAACAAAACAAAACTTGGTCGGTTGTTTCTCTACCTCCTGGTATGAATGCTGTTGGTTGCCGTTGGGTCTACAAAGTAAAATATAATTCGGATGGTTCCTTAGAGAGGTATAAAGCCCGCTTGGTGGCTAAGGGATTTACCCAGCAAGAAGGTGTGGATTTCATGGACACTTTCTCCCCTGTTGCAAAATTGACCACTGTAAGGGTCATCCTTGCTCTTGCTGCCTCTTATAATTGGACTCTTGTCCAGCTTGACGTTAATAATGCGTTTTTTCACGGAGACTTGCTTGAGGAGGTTTACATGCACCTCCCTCCTGGTTATTCTTCCAAGCTCTCTTCTCTTCCTCCAAATGTTGTATGTCGTCTGCACAAATCATTATATGGTCTTCGGCAGGCATCCCGACAATGGTTTGCCAAGTTCTCCTCTACCTTGCTGCATCTTGGTTTTACTCAGTCTCAATCTGACCATTCTTTGTTTACTCATTCTACAAAGACTTCATTTACTGCTATTTTAGTGTATGTTGATGATATAATTGTTACTTCTAACAATCCCATTGAGGTGCAACAGGTTACTACCCTTTTACACAGCAGGTTCAAATTAAAAAATCTGGGCTGTTTGAAATACTTCTTGGGTCTTGAAGTTGCTCGTAATTCTAAGGGCATCTCAGTTTGTCAACGCCACTATGCCTTACAGATTTTAAAAGATTCTGGTCTCATGGGCTGCAAACCGAGGAGTACTCCCATGGACGCTGGTTTAAAGCTCTCTCTTAATACTGGTGAGCTTCTGCCTGATCCCTCTATCTACCGCCGGCTGATTGGACGTCTACTCTACCTCACCATCACAAGGCCGGATCTTTCCTATGCTGTTAATCATCTCAGTCAATTTATGGCTTCTCCGCGTCTGCCTCATCTTCAAGCAGCTCACCGCTTACTTGGGTACTTAAAGCACACTGCTGGCCAAGGCCTTTTCTTCTCCTCTTCTTCTCCTATGCAACTCAATGCATTTTGTGACTCTGATTGGGCTTCTTGCCCGGATAGCCGTCGATCCATCTCTGGTTTTTGTATTCTCATTGGTGATTCTCTCATCTCTTGGAAGTCTAAGAAGCAATCTAATGTGTCTCGATCTTCCACAGAGGCAGAATATCGTGCCATGGCTAATGTCACTTGTGAGTTATTGTGGTTGTTTTCTCTATTTCGGGATCTCCATATTCTTCATCCAGGACCTGCACATCTGTTTTGTGACAACAACTCTGCTCTTCATCTTGCTGCCAATCCGGTTTTCCATGAGCGCACGAAGCACATTGAGATTGATTGTCACCTTGTTCGGGAGCACATCCTTAAGGGTCGTTTGAAGACATTCCCAGTACCTTCCTCCAAACAATTGGCTGATCTGTTTACTAAAGCTCTCTACCCTTCTCAGTTTGCTGTTTTGTTGTCCAAGATGGGAGTATTAAACATATACTCTCCATCTTGAGGGGAGCTATTAATATTTGTATTTTCATTTCTATTAGTTGTTATTTCTTTATTTCTTTTTCTGTTTTGTAACTGCCTTGCTGGCTCATGCATGTAGCTGAGCACTTTTTTAGCATTCCGTTGGCTTTTCCTTTGCTGATATAAACTACCTCTTGTACGACCTTTCATTTTCATTCAAAGATGAATATTCAGTTTTCCTTTCATAGTCTTTTTCTTCCTGTTAATTAATAGTAGGCTTGGGTCTTGTGGTCCGAAGAAGAAGGAGTGGCTGATGGGTCGGTGAATGGATTTCGGTGGAAGCTTGGCTGTGGGGACCAGTTGGTAGGTTGATGACCGATTGGGTTTGGGTTCTTGGGCGTGTCCAAAGAAGAAGGAGAAGGAGACATGGTGGACCGGCAGTGAGTAAGGAGGGGATATGATGATGGTGTTAGGTGGTGGAGGCTTGAATCGGTTGAGGAAGGAACAAGATGGGGGCTGTGATTTTGAAAAGGAGGGACGGTGAAAGGTCGATTGGTGTGGCTGGGTTCTAAAAAAAAATAAAAATAAATTTTAAGGCAAGGAGATGGCTATGGAGGAAGGGGGGTGGTGGTGAGGGAGATGGATCTTGGTTGGAGATGAGGGAGAGAATGGTTGTGGGTTGTGGAGGTTGGTGGTTCACCGGTGGTTCTCGGTGGTTGTGCGATTATGAAAGGTTGAAGGTGGAGTAGATTTGGGATATGGAGGGAAGATGATGGGAGGAGAATGGTGGTGACCGGTGGTTGGAAGGAGGAAAAGAGAGGGAGGTTATGCGGTGGTGGCTCGTGTGGAGTGTGGCTGAGGTGTGTGGTGGTGACCGGCGGTGATGGTTGGACGAAGATGGGAGGCTGTTCACCGGTGCTGGTCGAAGATGGTGGTTGGGGTGGGGTCTGAGGGTTTCAAAAATAAAAATAAAAATAAATAAAAAATAAAAATAAAACAATTAATATGTAACCAACCCACTTAAGGAACCTGTATCCCCATGCACAGAAAGCACATCGAATTGGCGTTTGGTACGCCAAACTGGTGTGCGGGTCGCGGACGGAGTTGGTCTCGTATGTGGAGGTTTGATACGCCAATTTGGCGTATGAGGTGTACTTTTCTTTTCTCACAAATTGTTCACTCACATGAAATTTTCACAACCACGTTAAAATA